CTGTCTTTAATCAGGTCTGTGAATGACTGTATGGTATGCCACATGCACTGTAATAGGTTTTATATTAAATATAAAATTTTCAAATGAAAATAGCAACATGATTGTTTTATAAATTATGCGTTCATATGTCTTAAAGGCTAGATTTTCGCTGGAGGAAACAGCTGTGGTGTGATGAGGGGTGAAAGTTGAGAAAACTTTACAATAGATGGGAACCGATTGCTCCCTCATGACCTTTTGTAAACTGTATTTATGACAAAGAACTGCACAGATACAGATATTATAACAATCTATAGATAAACACACAGCTTGTGTCCTCTGTTTCTGTTTGAGTCCGATCGCGCTGCGCCGTGGTCTGTGGATTGAAGAGCGCGCTGAAAGACGGGGAGGAGACGAAGTCTGCCGCCGTTTTCATATGAAATTTAAAGGGGACTGACTCTAAGGCGATCACGAATTTGTGTATAGTTTACGGACCTAATCGCTATAGCCCCGCTAAAAATGGCCTAGCGACGCCCATGCTTCTTACGTCCATTTCGGGGAACCAGGAGAAATATTTCAATCGATCGCTCAGGCATTTAAGTGGCACCGAAATGAGGCACCGAAATCTGAGTTCTGATTCGGTTCTAGTACATATTGGCACAGGGTTTCGGTACCCAACCCTAAAGAAGACGGTGATTCCGACACCTTTAGCACACTGTAATGGGTTTTGATTTGTTTAGATGTCTTTGGTCCTTGTTGTGTTCATATATCAGTCAAACCACACCCTAAAAAAGGCAAGTCTTGGTCCGCTTGTTTGACATGCACTATGGTTTGGATGGCCGTGTTCACACTTATTCAATGAACAGCACTAATAAGAGCAATCACTCCGGAGTTTGTTTTAATTGAACCAAGCCTGCCAAGTGTGAACACACCCATAGTTACACAAGGTACCCAGAGAGGAAACGTGCAGTATTTTTCCTTTTACAAATCTTGCCCTGATTCCCCAATAAACATGTAGAATATCACTAACCCATCATTACTCCTTTATGACCACAGAAAACTCACTGTTTATGGAAATCTCCAGTTTATTTTATAGCACGTTGTGTAAAGCTTGTCTGAGTGAGCAAAAGCAACTTAGTCAAGGTCAGTTGCTTCCATGACTATAAATTAATATGGCCAATGTGTACCTAATAAAACATTTATTTTTCAGACAATCAAAAGCAGTGTGTACTCGTACCATAATGGCTTGCTGGACCAGCGTGTTGCAGTGTTCACACATGTTCTTCAAGATCTTGTTGGCTGCGTTGTGGCGGGCAGTGGTAGTGGATTTGGAGGCCACAGTCAGAGGATAAATCAAAGCCTTTAAGAATGAAAACACAAATCATGAATATCAAAGTGCTGCTAACGAAGGAAACACAGGTTATGATTCATGCACACTACAAGTCTGGACACACCTAGTCATTCTTTGTCATGACTAGTCATCACATTTTAGAATAATAGTGAAGTCATCAAAACTATAAAATAACACAAATGGTAGTATGAGTGTAACCTTTGTAGGTTACACATTTCAAACCAATGTTTCAAGGAATTCCATTTGAAGTTATATTCTTCAGACCCTGGTTTGGACGCACAAGCTATGGGTAAGTTTAGGGGAAACAAAAAACAGTTATCTTTAATTTATGGAAGGTTACAAACAGCTACTTCCCCCTCCTCAAATATATTCAGGGAGGAATGGGAGCGAGAGGGAAGAGTGAAGTGGTATCTCTGAGGAGGTCTGGCAGAGTGGTTTGGAAGATATTGATAAACAATATATCAATACAAGATTATGCCTCATTCACTTTGAGGCCATACATAAATAACACTTCTCAAAAAAGAAACTGCATAGATTTCTTTTTCACCAATGTTTTTTCCCTCTTTATGATAAATGCAAATCAGATTATGCTAATCTATCTCATAGTTTCATTTTCTGCCCTAAAATACAAGGATTCTGGTGTGAGGTGCTTTCCGTAATGTGAAGATGGAACCAGACCCAGTGTTCCTTATACTTTGACACTCTGATTTTACATACTCTTTGAACAAAGCTCAACATGAATTCCTCAAATTTAGTCTAACAGTCAGTTCCAGAAGCAGCACTGAGTTCCCACGAAAGGGAACCACTTCTAACAGACCAAGATGTCGATTTTCATAATTTTTAAAAATTAAGAACATGAAAGATGATAAAAATTGCCTTTATTATGGAGATGGACTTTCTATGTGCATTTATTACTCTACACAATTGTTTCTTTTTTTTAATTGATATTTTTATTAATACATGGTGATCATTACTATTTTTTACATATACCTGGGGGTGATAGCGGCCAATGTCGGTGAGTAGCTGGTGTATAAGACGTCCCACCAGTGCACGTGGGGTATCGATCCGAGCTATTAGTTGAGGAATCACCTGATTGAAAGGAAGAAGTTAATACATGTTTTTTTTTTTGCTGATTTCAAGTGAAATTCTGCTATGTACAGTTGTACAGCGATACCATATTTTCTTCAGTATAACAAAAGTGTTAACATCCTTAAACCAACATACGTACATTTGTTTGGGAAGCTTAATTGTGTAAGATAATAAGACTCCATGAATACACAGATCTAACTAAATCAAATCTGGTAAAACCACATGTGAAATTTAACTTGTGACAATTTCAGTTGGAATCGAGACCCTGCTTATGTATAGACAGCTGGAAATGGTCTTACCTGTAACCATGTGTCTATCTGAATGGTCTTAATACCCTCGACTAGAGCTTCATTCACCTCGGGCCAGTGGCCATAATCAAACCATAAGGTCAGGACTCTAAATGTAAAGGAACAAATACACAATCATACACAATGTAAAATTATTTGATGAATTGCATGTGAATCCAGTATATTTCAATTGTTTTTTGTTTGCATGGTGCTATACAGAAGAGGGTTACAAAAAATAATTTTATAAAAAAAAAAAGAATTAAGAAATTCACAAGTATTTATTATAGCATGTCTGGACACAGCATCTCATATCCTCATCATTCATTCAACATTCATGCTGGCAGTTATTAAACCACTTATCAAGAAACCACAACTTCTACCATGTTGGTTCCTTGTTGGTTAATTATGCACCCAACTCAATTTGTCCATTTCTGTCTAAAGTTTTCTAGAAAAAGCTGTGTCTGCTCAACTGAGCTCTTTTTGCTGATAAATGGCATTTATGAAGAGAGTCAGGATTTAGACTCCATAAAAGAACATACACTGTTCTTTTCAGAGTGACAAATGACTTTTGTGCCCCAAGGCTCTATTTTGCTTGTCCATAAATCTTCAGGAAACTTTTTTAGGAAACATAGAATTATCTTTTAATGTTTTGCTATTGTTATCAAAAGTACAGTATGGAGTACCACAATGCTCAGTACTAGGACTGTTGCTTTTCACGCTTTACATGTTACCCTTGGGAGATATCATCAAGAAACATGGTGTTAGCTTTCACTGTTATGCTGATGATACTCCGCTCTATATTTCTTTGTGGCCCGATGAAACATACTGTGTTTACTCTGTGGAGACGTGCTGATATCGCGTTTGGTCTCGTTCTGTATCGCGTATCTTGTCAGTGTCTGCGCTTGCTTGGCCATTAAAGACCATCGACTCTACCGTGCGACTCCTCCGGGCAGGGACACCAGCAAAGGATAAGTATCGCTTTTTAGTTCTCCTCTTTCCTACTACTTGTTTCGCTTCTGTTTCAGTTTTTATAACCATTTCTTACTATGTGTCAGTAAGTTGTTTTTTTAGCATGTGTGTTTTGGCAGTGTTATTTTTTAGGATTACTGATATACTACTGTCATTTGATTTGTATTATTTGTATTTGTTATTTATTTTAATTTTAGTTAAATTTGACTAAATGACTAAATGCTAAATGACTAAATAAATAAATACCAATTTGCAAAACTAACGGAATGCACAGTTGATATAAAAAACTGGATGACTAGTAATATCCTACTGCTAAATTCTGAAAAAAACAGAAATTTTAATTATTGGACCAAAAACCTCCACATGTAATAACCTAAAACGCTGTCTAACACTTGATGGCTGCTCTGTTAATTCCTCGTCATCAGTTAGGAAACTAGGTGTGCTATTTGATAGCAATCTTTCCTTTGAAAACCATGTTTCTAGCATTTGTAAAACTGCATTTTTCCATCTTAAAAACATATCTAAATTATGACCCATGCTCTCAATGTCAAATGCAGAAATGTTAATTCATGCATTCATGACCTCAAGGTTACATTATTGTAATGCTTTATTGGGTGGTTGCTCTGCGCGCTTAAAGGGGTCATGACATGAGAAACCAAATTTCCCTAGATCTTCTGACATAGAAGAGGTCTTTGTATGCTTAATACATCCTACAAGTTTCATAACTTAAAATGTCCTCATCATCAATAAAAAAAGCATGTAATAACCCTCAGAAAACAGCTAATTTTGGATCAGAGGGACAAGGTGACGACCCCAAAAAACCGACTGTTTCAGTCAGAGGATGAGAAATAGGGTGGAAAAAGGTCATAATTAAATTTTTAATGTTTTTCGTCCCAAAAACTTTAGTAATATTATAATTACACCTAAGGGAACATAATAAAATAATAATTATTATTATTATTATTATAATAATAATAAAAAGAACTTATAATAATAAGAAGTATGACCATATTAGCCCAGTTCTGTCAACACTGCACTGGCTCCTTATTGAATATCGAATACATTTTAAATTCTTGCTAATTACTTATAAAGCCCTGAATGATTTAGCTCCTCAATACTTGAGCGAGCTCATATCGCATTATAGTCCTTCACGTCCGCTGCGATCTCAAAACTCTGGCCATTTAATAATACCTAGAATATCAAAACTTCTATAAAACTTCTGTAAACTATCGCTTCAGGCCACCTGCCACATGTGGGTTCATGAGAGTGTTGTGATGTTGTGAAAACATGTTCTGAAGGTGAAAACTGTAGTGTTTTAGCACATTTTAAAACAAGACAACAGCCTCTAAACAGACTCAGAAATATACATGTTAAATATAGAAATACAGTTTTACTGTCGCCTAAGTTACTTGCTCTCTTACCTTAGTGTGTCCTGTAAGTTATTTCCACGTGAGAGTGAGATAGATCTGAAAAATCCCTGCACTGCAGGCACTGTGTACAGAAGGAGAGTCTTGGACAAATCCTGCAACATAGAAAACATATAATTCAACTCTAAACATTACATGACTGTAAAAATAATTTCATACATAAATCCACATTATTTTCTTCGCATGCACTTTTAAGCATGTTGTCTGTGCCAACTTCATGTTTTATTTGACTTCAAGATTTTTGGACTGAATGTCACTGCATTTGCTGTTTATTCGCCCAAATGTCTGTTAAACAACATTATTTAACTTTCTGTGCAATTCTGGGTTTTAAACTGTTAAGAGAACCTTGTTAATAGCAATGATCTGCAGATTTGTTCATATGGGAGAGTAAACATATTGGAAGATCAAAGATGCTAACTTCATTTTATTGTTGGCCAAATTTAAAACTGTTTACTTGTTTTAGAAAATTGTTTACAAGTTGTTTGGAATTGCACTAAAGGTGAATGCTGGTGAAGCTTCACACACAAGCTTCCAATAATACTTCAGTGTTGATGGCTGGCTTTGGTTTGTTTCTCACTTCATTGACTTTCTTCTGTCCAGGGGAGGGTACAGGGCTGTGCTCTGTGCTGTCGGCCTCACTGTCACTGTTACTGGCTTCGCTGTTGGCACTGGCACCGCTTGCGTGTCGTAGTTTCTTCTTCTCATCACGGCCCTGGTTCTGGTGCTTGTAGTGAAGCACAGCCTCAAAGTTCATTACTGCCCAAGCATGCCAGGCCTGCAGAGGCAATATGCTTTATCTTATTTTTTGATAACACTGAAAACAACAGCACAGATCCAAAAACACAACTTTAATGGAAATAAACTGTCACCTGCATAGAAACAACTGCATGATAAATAACATGAATGCTTGACCATGACTAAGAAAAATCTTTTCTCAAGAAGAATTTAAAATGAAAGATTTTCAGAGCAATTCCAGCTAAATGCTCCTAATTAAACACAGTCATCAGTGAATCTAACAAATTCTAAAGAACATAAGCAAAATAAATAAATAAATAAATAATAATAATAATAAAAAAAAGCTCCTTGGCCCGATTTACACAGAACATGTTTTTTCTTTGAAAAACATGAGATTCAGGCAGTGAATGGTTTTAAAGGGGTCATATGATGCTGCTAAAAAGAACATTATTTGGTGTATTTGGTGTAATGAAATGTGTTTATGCGGTTTAAGGTTAAAAAACACATTATTTTCCACATACTGTACTTTATTGTCTCTCCTATATGCCCCGCCTTTCTGAAACGCGTCGATTTTTACAAAGCTCATCGGTCTGAAAAATTTGAATTAGGGATGCTCCGATCTGCCTTTTTCGCCTCCGATACCTAGGGTTCGGTATTGCACGATACCGATCCGATACCAGTGAAGTTTTTTTCCCTCATTTAAATAAATGTAGAATTTATATATCTCTGTGTGTGGAACTGATAATTATTCTTTCACAATCTACTAGATACAGACTACTTCATTATAAAGAAAAATTAAATAAACAATAAATATAGAAAAATATAGGCCTATGTATATTTATATTCTATGACAAAAATTTATCATAAACTAGGTTAGTGGATAATTCGGCAGCTTTATGCTCCTGTTACCATAATTACATTGAATCACAAAATCACACAAATCTGCCAGCCCACTAAATAATTGATTACAACTAATTATATAAATTCTCATTTAAACAAATTTGCGTTTTGAGCTATAGCTCTTTGGCAAGGAAGAGTGGGAAAAAACTGACAAATCGAGAAGTTGATAGACTCTAACACAAAAAGACTGGCTGCTCTATTACAAAATATGTGCAAACCTATGCAACCAGGTTATTTTAGGGTGTTTATACCCTCCTAAATTTGCCATTAACTTCCATTGTATGTGCCTCACTGTAACCAAGATTTTTTTAAATTTATTTTTTTAAATGTTATTGTTTTTATTTTGTAAAACAGAATTGCTGTTTATGAGATAAACTTTTATACATGGAATATTCCTGTAAGTTGTTTATCTTTTATTCAAAAATATAAATGTTGTTGCAATACTGCATCCATATTCTTGCACTACTGTATATCGCACACCCAAATGTATAAATCATGTTTAATTTGAATTGTTTCCCTTGAATCATGTTTATGTTTTGCACAAGGCAATGATAAATTCAGTAATTCACAATTCTGCTTTGCTAATAAAATAAAATAAAAATGAAACTGGGTTAAGACACAGAAGATAAAAATAGGTTAGACACAGATGCCTGAACAATGTCACTGACTGCATAGTGTACATTTTAAATGTTTTAAATGATAATTTCATATCATTTCATCATTTTTGACTTACAGTGAATAGTAATGTACTCTCAATGATTACATTAATTTGAAATATTTAAAAATGGTGCATTTCCTATACTTATTTAAATCTACTGGTAAAATCAGGCAACTGTAATGGGACTTTTTAATTTCTGAAATTTATAATTTTCCTTTTTTGGTGGACTATCCTTTTAAGGAATTGTGACTTGCTTTGATTAAATGAAGAAAACTACTTGCTTTGACTTTGACTTCATAAGCAATGACTCGAGGCTTGACTCAGACTTGAACTGCATGACTCTACAATTACTTAATTATAGCAATTACTTAAAATAAGAACAGAAGTGCCTGGTTGCCACAGGGAAGTTCGTGGTAGTAAAGTTTTTCAATAGGGATGTATGAGTGCTGAAGGTGTGAGGGACTTGTGCTTTATCAATGCTGTCATGAATTCACACACCACTGTGTGATGTAATACAAAAACCTGAAACAGAAGATTCTACTGTCTGCTCAGCTGTTAAGAATTTTTTCACAAATCAGAAATTGAACTACGTGTACCACACATCGTGGTATTTTTCCTCACATCTCTTCAGCTGAATTGCTCAAAAACACTGATTTAAGTAGAAATGAAACATACTTTATACTTCTGTTGCTCAGGGATGTATATGGTTGATCCTGCTTTGGTTTTGTTTTCACTGGTCAAGCAAAAACAGACTGGCAATGCCACTAAAATACAAGTTGCTCAGTAACTGCTTATTTATTAACTGTTGTATGAAAGTAAAATTACACTCGCATGTCAATAATATGTAGCTTTTAATATGATTAGAATATGATATCATTCACTTTAAATTTATATCTTTTTAAAAATTGTATTAAGTGTTTCCTAAAATTTCTAAAAATCCTAAAATTGTACTTCTGTTCAAGAAGATAGATCTGTATTTCAGTATGGTCTCAAACTGTATTATTTAACATTTGAAGCATTTATGCATCATGACATCATAAACATCTAATGAGCATCAATGAGAAAGAGATTTTGGGGTGACAGTGTGTACATGTTGATGACAGATTTAATGAGATTCACCCATATACATTTAAAGTTTGTGAAGTTAACATACCTTGTACCAGTTGCGATCGTGCTCTGTTGAGTGACTGTAATACTGTAACACTTTAGGGATGGTACTTTCATTGATACCCTGAAGGCTGAGCTGCCACTCCCCCAGCTTCAGAAAACACCTGCACAGAGGAGAAACACGGAAGAAAAATTTAATAAGGCCATTTTCGACAAGCTCTGTAGCACACAGCATTTCAATTACAGTCATAAAAATTCATACACATGTAGATCTTATCAACTTCCGTTCCCGACAGTCATTGTTCCGCCCAACAGGAAGTCGGCTATTGTGGATCGTTTGAAAAACGCATGATCTGGAATTTTATATACTCCTCCTAGGGTTTTCATGCAATCATTGCTCTTTGCCGTGTCCAAGATTCCCTCATTCCATTTCAATGATCTCTTGAATCAGTTAAACAAATCCCTTTCATCTTCATTGTCCATGTTCCCGTAAATGTCCTGAGGAATAATTTAATAAGAACAATCTCTGGCATCTGAGAACAACTGGGCTTGGAAGAGTCAGACAGCGAAGGTTAGAAGCTGTTTTAAGGGGAAACTAAATGGAAATTGGCCAATAAGGGGGAGGAAATATAACAGAAACAGTAAAACCTTGGAAGAGAACATTGTGTGCACAAATGAGTTAACTGCACGCTGTCAAAGATGATGCTATAGAACAGTGGTTCTCAACCTTTTTTTGGGCCAGCGACCCCCTACCCATTATCCAGGTCCCTCAGTGACCCCCATAATATAAAATGTGACCCGTGCTGGCAAAATGAGTCAGAATGCGCACGGGCAAATTTTGAGCTACATGCAAAAAAGTAAAAAAAGTATATTTTAGTCAAATTTGAGGTTTTCACAAAAATTAGTTCATTAAGCTCTCGTCTAGCAATCCCAATGCTCCAAACAGTAATTAAACATCTAAAATGATCTTTATTCATATGTTTTTTGAGAGGAGTACCTTTTCTCCGCTCGTTTCTCACTCTGACCGTCATCCGAAGCGCCCACATAAAGGTGCTTCCGACAGCGCGATCCCGATACATATACACAGAACTACAGTATTTAAGTATTCGCTGCTCTACAGGCAGAAACTGAAATCAGCTAAACCTGTACTAAGGACTGTTAAAGGATGGACTAATGAAGCAGAGTAGGCATTACAAGCCTGCTTCGACTGCACTGACTGGAGTGTTTTTGAAGCTGCAGCCACCAATCTGGACGAGCTCACAGATACAGTAACTTCATATATCAGTTTTTGTGAGGATATGTGCATCCCCCACCAGGTCATTCTTATCATTCAATAATGATAAACTGTGGTTTACTGGGAAACTCAAATAGCTTTGTCACGCCAAAGAGGATGCTTACAGAAGTGGGGATAAAATATTGTATACCCAGGCCAGGCACAGACTAACAATGGAGATCAGAGTGGCTAAAAAAAAACTACTCTGAAAAGCTGAAAAAACAGTTTTCAGCCAACGACCTGGCGTCAGTATGGACTGGTCTGAGGAACATCACAAAGTGCAAGACACCACCCCCACAGTCTGTGGAGAATCAACAACTGGCTGACGATCTGAATGTATTTTATTGCCAATTCGAAAAGCCCAGTCTCACACCCCACACCCTCTCTGATCTGCACTTCACACATTCACCTACCCCCCTGCAACCCCCCTTCCTGCCTCTCCCACCATTCAGCCTACGCTTAAGGTCTGTGTAGAGGATATGAACCGGGTCTTCAGAAAGCAGTAGACTAGGAAAGCTTCAGGTCCAGCCGGTGTTTCACCTGCCTGTCTAAAAGTCTGCGCTGACCAACTGGCCCCCATCTTTACACAGATCTTCACCAGATCGCTGGAGCTGGTCCTGGCCTAAAAGCTGGCTGTCTGGTGCAATTAACAACAACCTGGAGCTCAACACGCTCAAAACAGTGGAGATGATAGTGGACTTCAGGAGGAACTCCCCTGCACTCCCCCCACTCACCATCATGAACAGCACTGTGGCAGCAGTGGAATCATTCAAGTTCCTGGGCACCATCATCTCACAGGACCTGAAGTGGGACCCTCACATAGACTCCATTGTGAAAAAGGCCCAGCAGAGGCTGTACTGCCTTCGCCAGCTGAGGTAATTCAACCTGCCACAGAAGCTGCTCACACAGTTCTACTCGGCCATCATTGAGTCTGTCCTGTGTACATCCATAACTGTCTGGTTTGGTTCAGCCACCAAATCAGACATCAAGAGACTACAACGGACAGTCAGGGCTGCTGAGAGGATTATTGGTTCCCCCTGCCTAACCTCCAAGATCTTTATTCCTCCAGAGTGAGGAAAAGGACTAAGAAAATCACTTTGGACACCACACAGCACACCCAGTCCACTCTTCAAAATGTTGCCTTTTGGTCGGCGCTACAGAGCACCAACCACCAGAACAACCAGGCACAAGAACAGTTTATCCCGCAGGCTATATTTAGCCTGAACAATTAAAACATTCATAACTATACATTGTCCATCATACCTGACATATTTATAAATAGAATCAATGTAAAATGCACACTTGTAAATACCATACCAGTACATTCATTTAAACAATTAAATTTTTTTCTCTATATATTTCTACTGTATATAGTGCATTATTTCATTTTCTGTTTTTCTTATAGTGTTATATTCCATCTCTACTGTGTAATTCTTTTTAGAAGTAGAAGTGAAGTGACGTGTGGCCAAGTATGCTGACCCATACTCAGAATTTGTGCTCTGCATTTAACCCATCCAAGTGTACACACACATTAGTGAACACACACACACCGTGAACACACACCCAGAGCAGCTGGGGGTTCAGTGACTTGCTCAGTTGTGGTATTGAGGGTGAAAGAGACCGGTGGTTATTCATTCCCCCCACCTACAATTCCTGCCGGACCTGAGACTCAAACCCGCAACCTTCGGGTTACAAGTCCGACTCTCTAACCATTAGGCCACGACTGCCCGTGTAATTCCTGTGTATGTCTGCACTATCATGTATGTTTGCACTATGTTCGTACTTTCTTCTGCACTGGAAGCTCCTGTCACCAAGTCAAATTCCTTGTGTGTGTAAACATTCTTTTAAAAGCATGTATTTCGTATTTAGACGTTACAGACCATTTTCTTTTGCAAGTTTCAGCTCATTATTGGTGTAAACCCGCCTTAAAGGGGTCATATGATGTTGCTAAAAAGAACATTATTTTGTGTATTTGGTGTAATGAAATGTGTTTATGCGGTTTAAGGTAAAAAAAAAAAAACATTATTTTCCACATACTGTACATTATTGTTTCTCCTCTATGCCCCGCCTTTCTGAAACGCGTCGATTTTTACAAAACTCATCGGTCTGAAAAACGAGGTGTGCTCTGATTGGCCAGCTATCCAATGCGTTGTGATTGGCCGAATACCT